TGATCGTTGTGCTGGGCCATTAAACTATTTCACTATATTCTAAATTATACAAGGTACTGAGCATTCCTTTTGTCTGTAGGATCTGTAGCCAGCTAAGCTACAGCTGAAATGGTTCCACCTAGTGAAGAAATGTATTTTCTCTGGTTCAGAGAAAAAAATCTAATTATTAGTTTTTAAATGTACCAGGTATGTACTTTCTTTTGTATTTCAGAGACTTGCGAGTATGAGTCAGGGATTTCACTGCCTTTTTTCTTTGTGAGGGTCACTAGTGGCCTTAGGCCAGCACAATGAAGAACATTGTTTTAGGGTGTGTTCAGATGGCGGAATGTATTCCACTCAAAACACCTTTAAATCCTGTAGCGGGAAACAGTTTCTGTGCTGTGGCTCACTTTTTTTTCATTACAGATCGAGCATGGCCAACATAGCGTTATATCAAATAAAACCTACAAAGCAAACTAAAACATTTCTGTTTCCATAGCGTGCAGCGATACCATTTTTTTTAGTTTTCAAACTCCCTGAGAAACTGAGCAGCTTTGCTAATGCTGTGCACTGAAGCTAAAAGAAGGCAGTGCTATACACATGGGATAATATAGTCTGTCTAAAAACAGGTTAAAATCACACAGTGTATGTCTGGTGGGAATCTGCCAAGGTGGAATTTTAAAGTGACCAGCGACTTTGTGTCCGACTGCCACAGAGTCAGAAACACTTCTCTGTATGAGCAGACTCTGAAAAAGTTGGTAGATATTCATGTAGAGGTTCCATACCATGGAGAAGAGCAATGCCTGCTTGTTCAGGAAACTTTTGAAACTTTGTTAAAATTTGCAGGTATTTGAATGTTCTTTCTCACATTTCATGCCCAGTATTGTTTTTTTCTCACATTCTTCACAGGTATGTCTTTTAGCAAAAATAGAACGGCGTAACTCCAGGAACTGCATCCAGAATGTTTTAGACAGGTAATTAAGCAATACCTGATGAAGCCTCATGTAGTCTCACTATTTTTTAATTTAAACTATTGTTTTTAAACTATTGCTACTCTTACTACAACAAAAATTCATTAACTGCTATGTAATATTTTGCCTAGCATACATACTTTCTCTAGAAGTTCTAATTTGACTGAATTACTGTATCATTCTGCTAAATAACAACTTTTTTTGCAGCTAATCAAAGTACACCGTTGAGCCAAAACATTATTGTCTAATATGCTGTTGGTCATCCATGTGCCACCAAAACAGCTCTTGCTCTTCAGTGCACGGGCTCTACAAGACCAAGAAGGTGCCCTGTGGTGTCTGACACTAAGACATTAGCAGTAGGTCCTTTAAGTTCTATAAATTGCAAGGTTCAGCCACCATGGATCAGGCTTGTTGTTCCAGCACATCCCACAGATGTAGATGTAAAGCATGCTGGTAAGCATTAACAACAGGAAGATCAGATTGGAGTTTGCCAAAAACATCTGAAAAAGCCTTCTGGAACAACATCTTATAGACAGATGAGACAAAGATAAACTTGTACCAGAACAGTGGGATGTGTATCAAGAAGGGAAGGAACTGCTCATGAGCCAAAGCAGTCCACGTCATTTATCAAGCATGGTGGAGATGGCATGTATGGCTGCCAATGGAACTGGGCCCATTTATTGATGATGTAACTATTGACAAAAACAGCAGGTTGAATTCTGAAGTATAAAGGCCCTCAGATTCAGCCAAATCTAAAACTCTTAATGGTGCAGATAGACAATAATAAGCATACTGCAAAGGTGACCCAAGTTTCTTTAAGGCAAATAAATAGAATCACCAGACTTCAATCCAGTCAGTTATCCATTTCACATCATGTTTAAATTCATTTGATAACGGACGGTAGAAAAGACCAGAACAAAATTTTGAATATTTAGGAAGTTGTTTTTATAGGGGAAAATGTGTGTACTTGTTTTATACTGTTTCAAAAGCATTTACACTGTTTCTGAACACACCCCAGACCATTCAGACAGTTGAGTTAGCGCAGGTTCCACCTAGTCTCCTTTCTAATGCAATCTGCAGCAGCTCTGGCACATCAGTATGTTTGGAAGGTGCAGTAAGTGCAGCTGAGCAAGTCCACAATCAATAACAAGTGTCTGCTGCATCTGATTGACGAAGATCCCCATGCTGAAGAAAAGGCAACTCATAGACTTAACTTGATTTTTGTTCAGGAACAGCTTTATAAGCTTTATACTTCAATTACATATATATGGTGACACATTTTAAATGATGGCTGTGATTGGCTATTTCTTTCTAAATAAAGTACTGAAAGGACTACTGGGTTTCACCTTGTGTTTTCCAGTTGTTATAGATGTGTATGGGTTTTAGAAAGTGACTTGGAAGTAAAATAATGAGTGTTAAGACTTACTTTTTCCAGGAAGTAATGAGTGAAGTAATCTCATATACAGTTTTAGAGAGGTAATTAGTCATTTGTAATGGATTAGTACCCCAAGACCGATTCTTAATCAACTTTATTGCTCTTCTCTATCTAATAAAAATATGAAAAAAAACTTTTAATTGCAGTGGCAACATACTGAATTTGATGAGTGTGTGTGTGTGTGTGTGTGTGTGTGTGTGTGTGTGTGTGTGTGTGTGTGCGCGCGTGCATTTTTGTTCTTTCAACTTGAGCAAGAAAGGTTGAAGGCCCCTGGTGTAAATGTGAACTGAACACAGATACTTCATTTCTTTTGTTGTGACTATACATTCCCAAACCTGTATTCTTTTACATCCCAACCCTGTTCTCAACTCTAAGGGTTCAAAGCATTCAATGTATGAGTCAGTTCAACACAGAAGAAAAAGGAAAAAAGAAGAAGAGAAAATTAAGTGGCACAGCTGTGTACAATACAGTAAAGGGTAAGCACTATTTTCACTTGAACTTCAAAAGCATGCTTTTTCTGTCAAGCTGTATTGTTATAATGCTTTATCCTTGCCTGTTGTGCTAAGCAAAACAGTAGCTCAGTATTATAGTATGATGCCAGATATATAGTGATAGGGATACAGTTGCACAACTGTAATGCTAGATGCACAGAAAAAGCTGAATGTGTGATTCTCTACCTGTGTGGATCCCAATGCTGGTCCTGAAGCCCACGTAAAAATGATAATTTAGTGATTTCGCTGCTATAACACACCTGCTTCCACTCACACATGGCGTGTTAATTAGATGAGTAGCTGGGTTTGGTGTGTTATAGCAGAAAAACACCAAAACATGCAGGACAAGGGTTCCCCATCTATCTACTCTGTTCTGTACAGCAGCAATAATGAGGTGGGACAAAGAGGTAAGTGCCATTTTGTAGCTTGTTTTAAAGCACTTCATGCATGCACCAGGACGAAAGAACTGAGAAATGTGAAACATTTTTGAAATGTGTGTTTAAATACACAGTGAGCCTTTGTGTTTTCAGTAGTTTACTAGGTATTAGAGCATGTCTAAATTCAGGCTGCTTATATGCAGTTAGACACATGCAATGAAAACTGCAGTAGTTTAAACAGGTTGTGTGTTGCTGGCAGATATCAATTATTATATAGCAGTCATTCACAATTAAAACTAATTCAAGACAAAGCAGATTGCTTTTTATTTATAGTCAGTCAAGAGAAAATGAAACAATCTGTCCTCCAGTTGTTTTCAACACTGCACTGTGATTGTTGACTTATTCCATAACAATTATTAACAGTCCTTCCTTTTTCTTCCCCTTTAGATCATATTTATCATTATTGTGTGTATTTTGCTAAAATATTTTAAAAGTGGAAAGAAACAAAATTGTAATCAACAACAAAATTGAATCTCTACTGAATATGATATTCCAGTTGTTTCTGTGCATTCACATTGGCATAAAAGGCATGAGATATCAATATGATAAGTGCAATGGGACACACTTAAAAAAATGTTTTCTTTAGTAAAGGAAATGGTTCTATATAGAACCATGAACAGCCAAACCCTTTGCATGACTGAAGAGTTCTTTGCTTCGTGAGAGGATTCTTCAGATTGATGGAGAATGTGCTGTCAATGGTCCTACATAGAACCTTTTTGAAAAGTGTTCTTCTATTGTATGTAATCTATAGCCTCCTGATGTTGGTCAGACCAGATTTTCACCCTGTCTGGGTGGTGTCTCCAGACATAATGCATGCTTCTTCTTTCTATTTGTCTGATCATGGTGCCGCATTAAAATGTTCTGCAGTATTACATCATTGAATCACAGCAGCCCTAAAGGTTTTTTCCAACTTTCAGTTTCACTTGTACTGTTGCAGAGAAATTGGACATGTACTTTTGGTCACTTTTGTTTTTTTTTTGCATTCTCCTTCAAGCCAGGTTGTTGTAAGAGCTTTTATGCCGTTTTCATGACTTTTATGTAGTGCTAGGTACACAGAAAAAGCTTAATGTGTGATTCTTTACCTGTACGGATCCCGATGCTGGTCCTGGAGCCCACATGTCCTACACATTTTAGCGAATTCTCTGCTATAACACACCTGCTTCAGCTCATAAATGGCTTGTTAATTAGCTGAATAGCTGAATTTGGTGCGCTATAGCAGAGTAAACACCAAAACATGCAGGACAGGGGTTCCTCATCTATATACTCAGTTCTCTACAGCAACTATAATGAGGTGGAACAAATTACAAAAAATGTAACTGACAACAAAACTGAATCTCTACTGAGTATGATTTTCCAATTGTTTTTGTGCATTAATACTGACATAAAAGGCATGAGATATCAGTATGGTAAGTGTAATGGTGGGCATACTTTCTTTGCCCATTTTTACATTTGAGTAGCTGTATGCAATCTATAGCCTCCTGATATTGGTGAGTCCAAATTCGCACCCCTGTCTGGGTGGTGTCTCCAGACACTCAAAGCATGCTTCTTCTATGTCATGGTAATGGTGCTGCATAAAAAAAAAAACACTGGCCCTGGCTCTGCAGTATTACATGGACGAATCACAGCAGCCCTAAAGGTTTTTCTAACTTTCAGTTTCACTTGTCCTGTTGCAGAGAAAGTGGTCGTGTACATAAATAGAGTCATACAGTCACTTTCGGTTTATTTGCATCCACGTTCAAGCCGGGTTGTTGTACGAATTGCAAAGGTAAGTGAATTTTAAATGATCTTCATCTGAGAGTAGCAAAAGTCTTTATGTTCGGTTGTGATAAGCATACAATTTAGTGTCTGTTTCCTAGATGGTGGACAAAGAGCAAGATAGGGGCGAAGGTTCTAGCAAAACCGGGTCTGTATCATTTCATAATTAATTATAACTGAGTAATTTAATTCTGTTGTGATTTTCCTAAATTTGTCACACACACAGTTTAATGCCTGTTCCTCATTGACAGTACACCGATGGAAGGGGTGTTTCATAGCCATTTAGATGAGAGAGTTCGTCCTTATATCGACCTGATTGACTCTCTGAGGCTGATCGGTGTTGGAGAAGATATATCTCTCCCAAGCATAGCAGTAATTGGAGATCAGAGCTCCGGGAAAAGCTCTGTGCTGGAGGCGCTGTCTGGGGTGGCGTTACCCAGAGGGAGTGGTGGGTGTCCAGGACAGCATCGGCATGTCTTTCTAAAGATTACATTACCATTATATTTATTTTTTGTTTGCATTATATAAGCATTGTATTGCATTTTTTTTTCAGTTTCACATGTCCTTCATATTCCTCCAGTTGGTGAGATATAAAAGAGCAGTGGTCAAATACAGTCATTAGGGCTTTGATTTTTTATACCAAGTCGATTTATTTTGCTGGTCGTAAGTGACACCCGCGTGTTTCAAACTAAGATTTCAATTCAAATCTGTTGCAGTAGTTTTGCTGTTAGTTACTGGCGGTTCAGTCTCTGAGCCATGTGGTTTGGGGCAAAATGCAAAGCTATGTAACGCAGCCATCTTGCAGTGCTAGAGTATGTATATGCTGCCCTCGACGTTTCTTTTACCAGGATTTTCTTTCCACTAAACTCCACAGTAATTACCATTTAGACTATGAGGCATGATATGACCCTCACCGTACCGTTAGAAACACTGAAGACAGTGATGTGTCACTGAGCACTTCTTATTCTCGAGATGCAGCTGTCAGTGTCGCCTTTTACCTTTACCTTCTGCTGAGTTAACTGTTAAGGTAGTGCCCAAAGATTGTAGGCTGTCTTTTTCCGTTTCTCCAGAGTTTTTTCACTTGTTAACGCTTATGACAGCCCCCCTTCCTCCTCCTCCACCTCCTCCTTCTTCTTAAAACGTTCATCAAACACTCCACAGCATTGCTAATGGAAAGTCGATGTCTATATCGCAAATAAGAATGGAGTACGTTAATTAAAGGGGATGGAAAGGACGAAACTGATGTCAGCCGCTTATTCGCCAACTTCTTACCCAACTTTTCCGTAAAATCCCCTGCCCGTCGCGCAGACACCAGGGGCGTTGGCTGGGCATGTAAGATCCGGGGCTCAGACTAGTTCACTGTAGGACCTGTGGAGAGGGTGGAGAACGTTTTTATTCATTTATTTTATTTCCAATTTTTCTACCACAACTTTTTAAATCTTTTTAGATGTCAGTGCTGTGCACTCGCAAAATATTTACCTCTCTGTGAAAGCTCGCCTGTCATTCCTGAAACAAAGTACCAACATATCTGAGAAAGAAAACGTACACCTTACAAATTAGCTGGAAATTTTAATATTACATAAATGTGTATTGGGCAGCGTGGTGGCGCAGTGGGTAGCCTCACAGCAAGAAGGGCCTGGGTTCGATTCCCGGCCGGGCGACCAGGGTCATTTCTGTGTGGAGTTTGCATGTTCTCCCCGTGTCTGCGTGGATTTCCTCCCACGGTCCAAAAACATGCAGTTAAGCTAATTGGACATGCTAAATTGCCCCTAGGTGTGAGTGTGTGTGTGATTGTGTATGTCTATCTGCTCTGCGATGTACTGGCGACCTGTCCAGGGTGTATCCTGCCTTCCGCCCATTGACAGCGGGGATAGGCTCCAGCTCCCCACCGCGACCCAGAAGGATAAGCGGTTTAGATGATGTATGTATAAATGTGTATTCAGGAGATTCTTGCCTCTGAATGGTTTTGTATATTTTGCGGTGTGACATATTGGCATAATCTGTGTTGAGCTCACAATGTTTGTCCACAAAACCCCTCCACAGCCCTGTACACGCGGTCTTTCATACTAACTCTGACAGAACCGACCAGCTAACCATCCGCACCCCCTACAACTCACACACACTCCACTCCACCGCTCGGCGGACTCTAATTCTCAGCCCTGTGAACTCTCCTTCTCTCGCTCTATATCCCTAAATAAACACATCCGACAGTGGAACCGCGCTGCTGCTGCTGCTCGCTGACTGACGATGCTTTGCTTGGTGCTTTTCTAGCCAAACCACAGTTTGAATCTTCATGGTAACAGCGACCTCTCTGATTGGTGGAGCCCGCTGTAGGACCCATGGGTAATGTATTTCTTTATGAAGAATGCGGCAATAAAACGCGATTTTTCGGAAACAAGGTTGAAACCCGACGGACTCGTGGGGCATATACCATCATCTCACAATCTCTGGCTCATGGTAAGTAAACAAAATCATAAAAACAACAAAAAAGACGACTCTGCTTATAACTTAAAATAAAAGTGTGGAAGAAAACAGATGCTTCCCCAAAAATGCCGCTCTGCGCATTACCGCTCTCTCTACATCAGCCAGCTCTTCCACACGTCTCCTCTCAAATGTATTTATATTTATATATACTTTTTCTATATTTAGTGATACTTGAAATGCTAAATAGTCAATCAGTAAAACGAACCACTCCATCTGTGTGGTTTTGTGAGTGTCTTGCGTTATGTTCACACAGCAGGTAAAAGTGACCCAGTTCTGATTTTCTCACCAAAATGGATTTTTTTTTGTTTGGCTGTTCACATTATCTTTTAAATGTGATCTGTGTGCGACATTACTCTGAACAGATCGCGCTCCCAAACCGACCCGCATGCGCAAAAGAACAGAGCTTCACGTTGCTTTACGCAGGTAAACAATGCTGACTTCCAACGAACACCAGTCGCTCTCCCGGAGCTTTTAGCTTCATCTTCGCCAGTATCACAGGGGCATCAAGCTTCACTGACTGACAGCTGGGCGGAATGTGTTCGAGTTCGCCATTAAAAGTGCACGTTATTCAGCCACGGTCGCTTATTTGGTTCGCGTCCTCGGATTCTTTAAACTCTGCTTTCAGACTTTTAACTGTTCTTCGACGCAGCAGCCTCGATCTCCCACTGCCGCGTTCGGCCTTTTCTTTCAAAATCTCTCCAAACACGGAGGAGTTTACAGATGAGTATCTTCACATTTTTGTACAGAAATATTACACCAAATGTTTATTAGGTCTCAGCAGCGAACGACGAATGTCGAGTTGGATTGACGCAAAAGTCACATGAATTCCGATCTGGCTGTTCAGACTGAGTCGCACGTATCGGATTTCAGTATCACATATGAAAGCATCTCAAATCGGAATTGAAAATATCAGATTCAGTGCGTTTTTTGCTGTTCACACTGCACATATGAAGAACAAGATCGGATTTGGGCCACTTTTACCTGCTGTGTAAACGTAGCCTTGTTTAACATTTTAGAGCATGATAGGGCCCGGCAAACTATTACACTTGTTTTGTATTTTCTATTATATTTCATGTAGTACAATTGCTTTTTTTTACAGAAATGTCACGCGTTCACGCATTTCTCTCTCTCTCTCTCTCTGACAGTTTAATGTATAAAACTGAACTGAAGAGGGTTATGAAAACAGGGCAAAAGTTTGTCTGTATACCGGGACAGCAGGGGGCGCTAGGACCTTGGGAGGGCGATGCTGTTCTAATCCAGCGCTGCGTTGGCTGCCCTTCACGCTCTGTAAAAGCGAGAGCAGAAACCAACATCAGAGACTTTCTAACGTCTGATGCTAGGCATACACGAGAAGACTTTGAAAAGACTTTTTTTAAATACTGAAGTCTGACACCCTCTCACACCTAAAGACAGTGACACAGTTTTTAGTCACAGACTATGATTTTGCAAAGACTAGGGATCTTGCAGTGTCACTATTTACAAGACCGCAAGTAGATTTTTGAGATTTTTTCCCATCTTGCACCTGGTAGAAATGTACAAACTGAAAAACCCATTTCCTTTCATTCTATAGTGGTACAAATGGCATGTAAAGATCTGGTGCTCAGCGCAGTTCACTGTAGAACAGTATAATCTGGCAGATTATCACCCAGAATTTTACTAATTAACCTGTAAAATGTACAGTTACTTTATTATTTAATATGAAAATGTATACATAAACAAAATATGGAGTGATTCTACGTTATTGATTAGGTGTTATGAACTAAACCATAAAAAGAAACCACTGTAACAGAAAGCAAAAGAAAAAAAGGGGGGGGTGATTCTTCAATAATGCCACTCTTAAAGTCCTCTGCACATTTCCTTACATCACTGTTACAGGCTCGAAAAGTCGCTTGAACAGTCGTTTGGTGTAAGGTCGGCATGAGGGGGGTTTCTTCTGACATCAGTTGAGAAGTCTAATGCCGGCCTTACACCTATGTTTGCATGTTTTGTTGATGTGTAAAACTTTCTGTTAAATAAAAAGTAACTGCACATTTTACAGGTTCATTAGTAGAATTCTGGGTGATGATCTGCCAGAATATACAGTTCTACCGTGGCACTGTCTTTAGATGTGAGAGGGTGTCAGATTTTAGTCTTTCAAAAGTCTTTTCAAAGTCTTCTAGTGTATGGTTAGCATTAAGAGGATGTAAGAGACGTTGGTTAAAATCATGCTAAGACTAATAACATTGACCCTAACTCACAATACACCATGCGCTGAGTGATACAGTCAGTAATTACAGAGTGAAGAATACAATGTCACCAAGTCACCGAGTTGATCAAAACTCAATTTTGTACCAATTTTGTATTTTGTATCTCTTGATCCCTCAACCTATAGATGGATTATGGAGTGAGATTACTGTCTTTAATGTGAGAGCGCAAGGTTAAATCGAGTAAGTCAGAAAACCGAGCGCGCAGAATCAAGAACTGCGCGCTTCAGACGCAGCACACCGGGAGTTTAGTGCGCTCGCTTATCGCAGCTGAGCCTTTTCAGTCTTGCCTTAGTTTATTGAAGAAATAATTGATTTAAAGTATGGACTGATTCATTTATTATATTATTAAGCAGGCCGACAGCAAAAGCAGACAGCACAGATGTGAGACAAGAAGCGGCTCAAAGGTGTGAAGTCAAGTAATAAGCTGAACGTTTAATAATAAAAGTTTTATTTTAAAAAATAACACATTGTACAAAGATATCAGTAATATAACCTTTTTTCCCCGGCCTTTATGATATCTTGCAAAAAAGAATTGCTGACCAGCCGGATAAATATGAAAACTTTAAATCTGCATCACAAGAGCTAACTTTCTCCAGCGTGGTCTTCAACAATGGAAGTGACAAAAGAAAAGCACCCCACAATGCTCTATGCATGTGTGTTATATGTGGGTAAAGCCAGTGTACATACAGGAGCATTGAAGGGATTTTTAACGGGCATT